ACGTGCTCCTTCACCGGAAGCTTCACAACGTATCTACCGGACTGATTTTGCGACGTGTTGTCCGCGAAGTGTTTCTTGCAGATGGCCTCCTCGACGGTGTAATTGGCTGTATTGTTGGAGATGTCCTCTTGTTGCCAAAAACGTGTTAATTCTTCGTGCAATTGTAGATTGGTTACTGCGGCATGGCAGGCTTGTATTTTCAGATCTTGTTTCGACGGGTTACCTAACCCGCCTGCTAGGATCCATCCCAGACGCGTCTTTTGCAGCGTCGGATGCTCTTGGGATGATTTGACTCGTCCCACGCACAACAGGTCCCAAAACAACTCCGCGCCAATCAGAGCGTCGATCTCGGATGACTCGTGAAAGCGAGGGTCGGCTAAAGGTAGATTGCGCGGGAGATTAAATTCGCCGCGATTGAGAGTGAACGACGGGAGCTTGTCCGTGACTTGATCCGTCACGATGCATTCAACGTCGAAGAAATATGAGTTTATGCGCGATGACATTTTTAGACGAACGATCTGAGTTGACTTTGTGCTAGCGTCGTTTATCCCCGAGATTGAAACGTTTAATGAACGCGGCTTTAGACCGAGAGCAGATACGAAGCTTTTAGAGACAAAGTTAGCCTTGAACCGCAATCCAGCAACACACGACAAAGTTTTCGCGCGCCCGCATTGTTGTAGACGTACACGGCAGCCGTGGATAGCATGACGTACTTGCCGTCCGAAAGATGCGACACGTGCGCCACTAGCGCAGTCGGTGTTGTCGCTGAGCTCGGCTTTGGATTGTTTTCCTGATCGCCATCGAGCTTCTCGGGAGTCGACGATTCATGCAATAACGTGTTGTGTTTCGCCTTACAGACTCGACAATTGCCCGATGGGCACTTGTTCGCGATGTGAGTCGTAGAACGTAAACAATTATAGCAAACCTTTAATTTGCGAATTTCGGAATTTCTACAAGGAACAGGGAGAGCTAAAAAGTTCTTGCAACTATATATAGAATGCTCCCCGCTGCAGTAAGTGCACTTGAATTTTACCGTCGCGACACACGCCGCTCGCTGCTTTTCGTTTGTTGAACGCGCGTTACCGTTCTTCGTATGGATAGCATCTGACTTGCCGGTAGCTTCGAGGGCTTGGCAACGATGAGTAATAAAACTAGCAAGCTGTTTGAAGGTCGGAAGTTTTTGCCCGGTCAAAGAATTTTGCCATTCTCGCAATGTTAAGGAATCGAGTTTAGAGCTTACTACGTGCACGAGTAGATCGTCGTAGATCGGACGCCCTAATGCCTGCAAGACATGTATGTGTTTTGACGCGCCGTCGGCAATTTGCCTTAATTCGCAAGCATTTTCCTTATTCATAGACGGCAGCTCCGTGATGGCTTTAATATGCGTGTGCACGATGACACGCTTGTTATCGTAACGCTCTCTCAAAAGATTCCACGCGATTTCATAGTTGCGGTCTGACATCTCGAGGGTATTAATCACGTCGCTCGCCTCGCCGGAAACGGCCGCTCGCCGTTGACCGTTTGACAGACTTGGAAGAAAGAGTTTATATATAGAGACAGAAACTTATCTTAACTTTAAAAATATATTTTAAATTTTTTTTAATGCATTTAATACGCGTGTGAGTATGAAAATGCAATTTGTTTTTCTAAATATGATAAATATTATTTTTTAAAAGCTTAATGACAATAATAATCAACGGCAAGACGTTTGTGTGTGATAAAAAATTTACAACATAAAAATACACAAATATACATATATAATTAAATGTAAAATATGTCTGTTTAATTAATAATATTCACGATGTTTAGAAATACAAATTGGATTTTTATATTCACACGCGTGTGGCCGGGGCGTATTAAAAAAAAGAGGTGTGGCCTCGGGGGGTTAATGATGCAAGAGCATGCAGACGTTGTTATAATCGTTCAAGAAAACTGTTCAATATTTTATGTGATTGTTGCAGAAGAAATTCGTAATGTCGGCGAATAAATTATACGCTAGTGCTTCTAGAGAAAATTGTAGTATTTTAAGACTACATGCTGTGGATGATATTACTAATCACTCGTTTGCAAATTGAAAATGTTAAACGTTTGATTATCAAAATCTTGCATTGGAAGTCACGCTTATAACAGATAAATAAAAATCTTGTCTGTATTTGACATCACACTTGTGAAAGTTAAGCGTGTAATAAATCTGCAAAAGAAATGTAAACGTGCAAAAAACTTGTCAATAATATCACACACACACGCACACACAGTAGAAAATGTAAATAATTGATTTCTTTATTATTACAATAATTTGAATATTGAAATTATTTTGTACCACATGCCTCCTCACACTTATATGTATGTAATTAATAACAATGTTTGAAAGATCTTAAGGACGTTCTTCGGAAAATCGATTTTCTCTAGATTTTTTTTTAAACTGTGAATATACATTAATTTAGGTGTGCTTTATGCGTGGTATAAATTTCAGTACCTCTTACGGTATTAAAAATCGAGATATTGAGCTTCAAAATTTTAACTTTTAACATGGAATTCCTATTCCGAGCTATTGTAATACAGACATAATGAATTGTGAAAAAAGTTTTCTTTAAATGTTTTTGAAAAACTAGTATATAATACATAAAAATAGAAATAATATGCGATAAGTGTCAATACCCTTGCGGTACGCGTTTTCAAAAAATACTTGTGTAAAGTACGCGATTTGATGAATTTTTCGCTCGGTTCGGGAATGACAGACGAGGAGAGGCGTCAGTTATTCCTTGGCAACGCCGCATGAGTTCTCACGCGTGAGTTAACTTCTTATTTTTTAGTTGTTATATGTAATATTTTGTATATAACATAACTTTAATAAAATAAATTTTTCTTTTTAAGCATGAATACAAGTTGATCACGACTGGAGCCAGAGAAGGTCTTTAAAAATAGGTATTTTTCAGGAATTTTTGATTAGATGAACGAAGAAAGCGAATAACATTAAACTTTGCATGTTTTTTTAATCTTATTTTAAGAATATATTTTTATTTTTTAAGTAAGAAAAATATTCTTCTCATCATATCTTGATCACTAAAAGACGTAAATGAGAGATGAAGTAAATGATTCCAGCTGTTCTAATAAATATCAGAAATGTAAAAACCAAAAACTTTCTTATTCAAAATAAGTGATGGCTATCGTCTGAACTAGAATAAACATTGTTTATTAGTTTTTTCTTTTAATAAAATACTAATAAAATTTTGAAAAAAGTTATAATATTTTTAATAAAAAAGCCGCTTTTACACACATAGAATAGAAATATTAATTTAATTCTAGTTCAGACAATAGCCACACTTCTGCAGAATAAGAAAATTTTAGCTTTTTGTGTTTCAGATACCTAGAACAGCTAGAATTATTTACACCGTCTGTCATTTATAGTGACCAGGATATAACAGAAAAGAAGAGCATTTTTGTTATTTAAATAAAAATAAAATTTTAAAATAAGGTGAAGAGAACATGCAAAATTTAACGTTATTTACTTTCTTTGTTTTCCTACAAAAAATTCCTAAAAAATATCTATTTTAAAGATATTTTAAATCAGAATACCCCCGTTAATAATTGTTTACATTTTCTTCCTGACGGAAAAGATTTTATCACCTCTCAATATAAATATAAAATTTATCTTGTCATGGTTTCATTTGATTACTCCGGCGTTTTTATATTTGTGATTCAATTAGATTATTGTTTATTTTGTTTATATTATTAGAAAATTGTTTAATGTTTTAGTCTAGTAGACTAATGTTTAATGTTTTAGTATGTTAACTGAAACATTATCATGTTTTAATATTTATATCTTCTTCTTTTATATTCATAGTAATCCGTTCCGAAGAAGACTAATTATAATAAGTACAGTCGAAATGTTACCCATGTGTATTGTTTATTTAATAAAGTGTTTTTATTTTTATCCAATATCCTTTTGTTGTTACTTGTAATTTAGCCGTAATTTGGCCAATTGAACATGCATAAATAAAATAAATTTAATAAGAGTAAAAGAATATTATAAACTACAGTTATTTCTCATAGTCAATAATATAATTATTGGTATGCATTTAAATATTACATGTAAATATTATTATGCTAAAGTAAAAGTTTTTAATGTAAGACTTTTTTAGATAGAAAAACATATGTATAGAACCGTGATTTTTATACATTACATTTGCGAATTTTAATTTTTAAGTTTATAAATATTTATTTAATTAATTATATTTGCAATCTTTATATATTTATAAATTTCTAATATATATACATATATATATATTTATTTACAAATATAAAAATTAAAATTTGTAAATATAAATGCAAATGTAACGTATACGCTAAATGCGTACCTCGGGGGGCGACGAAAAAACCCAAAAGTTGTAGAATTGTGCCGCCCAGATAGCGCTTTCATCGCCCCTCTACCCCCGCTGCGGTATGTATCTAGGGCGAAAAGACCCAAAAGTTGTAGAATTGTACCGCCCAGATAGCGCTTTCGTCGCCCCACCCCTGCGGTACGCAGCTAGCGTATAGCGCATAGCGCATCGTCAATTTGTCAACTCGAGACTCGGCACTCGGCGAGACACGAGACACGAGACGCGAAACCCGAAATGCGTGGCATCGTGGTATAGCCGGCGCGTGCTAACGGCAACGCCGCGCCGGCAACGTCACAGCTCAAGAGAGAAGGAGATAGCAGATTATTGTATGTCTGTCCTTCTCTCCCCGCTCGAAGCTTGCCGAGTGCCGACCGTACACGTACAGAAAAGGGGCTTGCGCGACCAGCATATCCCCTCCATCTGAGTAGTTCGGACACGAACTATAGCACGGACACGAACCATGTGTGTACCGTTAGCGAGCGTAACGACGTAGTTGATGTCCACTTTCTCAGGCGGCGCGTCAGTATACGTCCGCTTAGAGCTCTAGATTATAAGAGTAGCGCGAAAGTCCGAAACCTTTGATCCTTGCGAATGCCGACAACCGCGTGTTCCTATTGGTCGACCGCCATGTCGATATTGTCTATCTCTTTCTACACCATGTTCTTTCTCACTCTTTCTCGACATGACAAAGACAGTGCCATATGAAGGAAGAAGACATCACGAAGACAACATAATCTGTTTGATGTGGTGATTGTGGTCTGATTCTGATTGTGTGTGACGAAAAGAATGCGAAAAAATTATTTTGTACAAAATGCCGCAGTGTTGTGCAGACGGTTGCTTTTCGCAGCAAGGTACAGGAAAAATGTTACATCGGTTACCAACTGATTCAGTTCGGAGAGCTGAATGGGTTCGCAGAATTGGACGAAAAAGCTGGACGCCGAACAACAACTGCAGACTCTAGGTATTACAGTGAAATTTTGTAGTATTTTATAATATATATTATAGGATATTTCTTGTACTATGTAGAAAGTAGATAGTATATTTATTATAATGCTTAATAATTGTTATGTGTGCGTTCCCTAAAATGCCACGTATCGCGCGCGGTCGCG